AGGGCGGGGCGCGGCGCCCCCCGCCCAGCGACGAGCCCGGACGGGGCGCACGGAGACGGGCGGCTCGCGGCGTCCCCGCGCCCATGGCGGCCGCGGGCCGGGCCGTGGCGGCGGGCGGGGCGTAGCGTAGCGCGGAGCGGCGCTGCCGCCCGGCTCCGCACCCCGGCGGGCGAGGCCCGGGCATGCGGCGGCGGGAGCATCCGGGGGGCGGGCGGCGCTGCCCCGGCGCGGGCGGGCTCTGACCCGGCGCCATGTGGGGCGGGCGCTGCTCGCTGCTGCTGGCCGCGCTGGGCTGGCTGCTGCCGGCGGGAGCGGCGGGCAGCGGCGAATACTGCCACGGCTGGCTGGACGGGCAGGGCGGCTGGCGGGACGGCTTCCAGTGCCCCGAGCGCTTCGACGGAGGCGACGCCACCATCTGCTGCGGCAGCTGCGCGCTGCGCTACTGCTGCTCCAGCGCCGAGGCGCGCCTCGACCAGGGCGGCTGCGACAACGACCGGCGGCAGGGCGGCGGCGAGCAGGGCCGGCCCCGCGACGGGCCCGACGGGGCGGCAGGTGAGGGCCGGGGCGGCTCGCGGGGCGGGGCGGGGCCGCGCTTTCCTCGGGCGGGCGCTCCGTTCGCCCCCGGTCGGCGCTCCGCCGCTTCTCCGAGCGCGCGGAGGGACGGCGCTTCCCGCGTCCCGATCGCGTGCGGCGCTGCCGCTGCTCTCTGTCGCTGCAGCCCGGCTGTAAACGGAAGGGAAAACCGGGCGCACCTCGCGGTGGGGGGAAGGCGACGTGACGCCTCTGGGGGGTTCGGGGGACGTTCAGCCCCGCTGCGGGCGGCTTCTAGTACGGCGGAACGCCGAGGATCAGCTCAAGTCTTCTATCGCTGCTCTAAAGCCGCCCCGGTGGCTCTGCAGCGCGCCCGCTGCCGTCGCGCCTCAGCGCAGCGATGTTGTTAGCGGGGCAGGTTCGGGGCGGCTTCGCTGTCGGAGAAGTTGTGAGCAGCGCAGCACAGCAAGTGCGGGCACCTGCCGGGAGCCGAGTGCCGCGTGTCGTTGCGGGCGTCTTGCCTGGCGTGTTCGTCGGTGTTGGAGTTGCAGGAGAAATGGGGAAGGAGCGGCCTTTGAGTCACCGCCGGCCGAGCTCAGCACAGCCCTTGCAGCCCCGCTCGATGCGCAGAGTTTCGTTCGCCCTCCGGCCCTGAGCCCGTGTGCGGGGTGCTGTTAGGGCTGCTCGAGAGGAGCTGGAAGGGTTTTGGTGGTGATGTGAAACCCAGGCTCACTGAGAGCATTGGGAAGTGCTGTAGGAAGGCTGCGTCCCCACATTACTCCTGGTCCCTCAAAGGGGTACAGGGCTGTGTGTCGCCACTGCAGTCCTGTGTTCCCATCCCACGTGTGTGGTGGCAGAGCACCAATCCCTGCGCAGAGCCAGGGATGATGTGTGGGGCACTGATGGCTGCCCCGGCATCCTGGGGCATCGCTCTGCTCTCCTGGGCGTTCCTGGTTGGAGACGCCTCCTGAACGTTGGGCTGTGGCCCAGAGGTGGTTTGGCAGTGGGTCAGAGGGGCCGTCTTGCTCGCATCCCCATTGCCCACCTTCTCCTTGCCGTTGCAGTGCCCATCTATGTGCCGTTCCTCATTGTCGGCTCCGTCTTCGTCGCCTTCATCATCCTGGGCTCGCTGGTGGCCGCCTGCTGCTGCCGCTGTCTGCGGCCCAAGCAGGAACCCCAGCAGAGCCACGCTCCCACCGGCTCCCGCCTGATGGAGACCATCCCCATGATTGCCAGCACAGGCACGTCACGCGGCTCCTCCTCGCGCCAGTCCAGCACTGCCGCCAGCTCCAGCTCCAGCGCCAATTCGGGGGCCCGCGCCCCCCCGACCCGCTCGCAGACCAACTGCTGCCTGCCCGAGGGCACCATGAACAATGTCTACGTCAACATGCCCACCAATTTCTCGGTGCTCAACTGCCAGCAGGCCACCCAAATCGTGCCACACCAAGGCCAGTTCCTGCACCCACCTTACGTGGGCTACGCTGTCCCGCATGACGCGGTGCCGCTCGCCCCTGTGCCCCAGTTCCTGGATGGGCTGCAGGGCGGCTACCGACAGATCCAGTCTCCGTACCCACATGCTGGCGCAGAGCAGAAGATGTACCCGGCGGTCACTGTGTAGCTGCCTGCCACACTGCGTTTTTAATTTCCAAACTGAGCAGAGGAGAAATACTTCCTTGGAACGCGGCTCCCTGAACAGCGCTTGTAAATAATTTGGGAAGGCTCATGCATGTCAGACAGTGTTTATAAACCATTTATTCTCGTCGAGGTCCGTTGCCAGAACTGTAGGATGATACCGCTGAATTAACGTTTCCAGATACGCTTTCATTCCTGTGCATGATTTACAGTGGCAAAGGATTACACTGGAAATGCATATGCATTTCAGATCACTGTGCTTGTGAGATAATGCCGCAGCCATTAAGTGCCCTTCAGGTGTGACATGGTCAGAAGTATTTGCCTAATTAGTTCGCAGAAGAGCTTTGTTACACAGAACAGAGCGCAACGCTCACAAAGCCTTTCTCCTCTCCTCGTCCTGTCTCCTAGTGACATTTCCCACTGTTTCACAGACAGTGACAGAGCCGGGCAGAGCAGCCATCGTGTGCTTGGTTCCTGGTTCCAGCTGCTGTGGCCTTGTGGGGTGCGCTGCCATGCGGTGCTTGGTCCTGCGAGAGCAGCTTCCCCGGTATTTATGTAGGAATTACTTTATGTAGGAGCTCACCAATTGCCCAGCTCCTACTTGCAGTGCACTTGAAACCCTTCTTGGTTTGATGTTGCCTCCAAGCTGAGAACGAGTAGTGGTTGGCACAAGCTTGCTTTCTCTCCATGAACTTCTACTACGAGCAGGGTGTGAGGTGCCTGCTCCTCCTGCCACCAGCACTGCTTTCAGGACAGCGGCCGCCCTCAGAGCTGACCTCGTGCCGCCCTCAGAGCTTCCACGCGCCTCTGTCAGCCTCACCCCCCAAACACCGACCCATCAGGTTGGTGACAGAACCCCCCTGTGGCTACAGGCCCTCCCAGCAGCTGCCAGTTCAGCATCCCCAGCAGCGGCACCGAGTGCTGCAACTGTGTGGAAGGGCAAAACCTGAAGCGAGCAGTCATGACGAGCAGAGCAGAGCCAGCAGAGGGTTCCTTGGCTGATATCGCATCAGTACCTAGCAATAACTGGACACTGCTATTCTTGTGTGTCTCTCTTCAAACCACATGGATGCGTGGAAGTGTCGCCAAATGTGACAGCTTGCCTGTAAACATACTGCATACACACACAGTTGTCTGCAGAAGGGAGAAACGTTTGTGACCACGGAGGACAAAGGTGAATGGGTGACTTGTAGCAGCTCTGCAGGCCCTGGCTGTGCTCTCCCCAGGCTGTGAGCTCCCAGAAGCACGGCACTGACCTGCACTGTGCTGAGACTGGTGGCCTCGTGGGGTGGTTGGCATCCCCTGCCAGGGCGCCTGCTGCAACCCGTGGCATTCAGGTGACTCTTTGTATATTGTTTACTTGTTTAAAAAAGAAAAGAATAAGTTAAATTTAAATCTGTAGAAAATAATTTACAGCGGAAGGAAAAGTGACCTGAGTTGTAATAAGAGGAAGTTTGTGAGATGTGCTGTTTTTTTTTTAATGTCATGTATAATAATGTAAAACCAATGTTAACGTTTGATATAGCTTTTAAATTTCTGAAAGGGCACTTGATTTAAAGTGTTTCTTACAAATGAAGAAAAAAGCCCCCTTTGTTTCTTAATAAATACTTTATGGTGTGACTTTTCCTTTCGTTTGCTTTGTCGCAGTCATTTTTCTGTTCAGTCAGTGCCTCACTTGCCCCTTTCTGTGATGGCCTGTCCCAGCCCAGCAGAGCCAAGGCTGTGCTATGGGACAGTTTTTGGAAGCGGCATCAGCACTGCCCTGGAGGTGCTGCAAGGCTGAGTGGTGGAGGCAGGAATAGGAAATGGAGCCTTGTGGTGGTGCAGGTGTACCCCAAGCAGGAAAGCAAGAGAAGACAGGCTTAGCAGGCTTTTGGGTGCTGCAGAAGAATGGATATTTGCTGTGCAGGAGCCTCTGTCTTTCCCCCTTTTCTTATTTTTTCCCCCACAGCTCCATGCTCAGCCCTCCTGACTGCTCTGTGCCTGTAGACCTTGCTAGTTTTCATCCTGTTACTCAGCTTCGTCTTCCCAGACTGCCCTGAACAATTCCTCCTGTTTGTCCTGCTGTTTACACCTCTTAAATCTGTTCTCACTTCCTTGCAGTTGGAGGTGTATGGAGTGCTTTTTCAGTGCTTCTTTTTGAATACCTTGCTACTGATTTCAGGCTCTTTTCTCAGCAGAGGTCAGGAAATGGCCGTGCCAGCTGGGGGTGTTAGTGGTGGGGAGTAGAGCACATGCTGCACTGTCACTGCCTCATCCTGTGGCACACATCCTCCATGCTGGGGCAGGGCTGGCCCTGATTGCTGCATGTGCCCAAGCCCAGTGCCATGAGCAGAAGGAACTAGTCACTGTGAGAACAACTGCTGAATATGTTCCTGAATCCCCTGTAGAGTTGCACCCCCTTGGGCCTGGAGGCTGGCAGCAGGCTCATGGCACCCAGAGCCATTGTGCTGCACCAGGGCAGCCCAGCACCACCAACAGCCAGCGGGATGTGGGCAGCACCTGGGGGTTCTGTGCCCTGCCCTCCACCCCAACCCTGCTGGCATCTGAGAGTCCCTGTACAGCTGCTGCCAGGCACTTCCATATGTACTGGTGTGGAGTTCGGTGCAATCAGTGTCCAGTGCTTGAATTTGGAATGTGATCCCACATGAGAGCAAGCGAGATTTCAGGTCCCAAATCAGCACGTGAACTTCAGTATCTTCCTTCCACAGCATCTCATTTGCTGCTCGGTCCTGGTCTTGCTGGAGCTCTCTTTTCCCCTTCACATTTTCTGCTCTCCCAATTCTTTTCCTCCCACTGAAGCTGTTATTAAATATTATTCCCTGTGTGTATTCCCTTGCATTTTTCCGAGCTGAAGCTCATTTTATTGTTTCCTGCTTGTATTATTTCTTGCCTCTCTGTAGGTCCCTTTGTATTATTTTTCTGTTCTCGGCGGGGCTTGCAGCATTTCTCTGCATCCCACACGCAGGCAGCAGTGCAGAGAGGTGGGGCAGTTAGGTAGCAGCAGCACAGCTTCGTTGGGAGATGAACCCATTTCCCATCAAAGATGATACCTTCCCCGTTTTCCAAGTAGTGTTTGAAGGGAGGCAAGCTCCTGGCAAGCAAATGCGTGGCACACAGAGAGCACACAGCTGGGGATCTCGGTTCTCCATCATCTTCATTAGGCAACTAATGGAGGGCTCCCAAGTGTGTGACATGGACCACAGCGTTCAGGGTGCTTACTTCTGCTCCCAGATGGAAAGCTTTGGTAAAGTATTTCATTTTCTTAATAGTGCTCAGTCTGGGTGATTATTCTGTTCGCGGGTGGGAGCGATGCTGCCATTCTGTAGCCGGCGGTATCTGCTGCTCAGTATGGAGGTGCCCTTCCCTTTTCATGTTTGATGTCAGTAATGCGTGAGGAAATCTGAAAGTTACCCCAAACACTGAAGACAACCCCTTGTCTGCTACTGCAGGGTCCTTTCATGTACTCAGTAGACTTCTGATAGCAAAAGCATAATTCAAGTGTCCAAGAAAGAGTGGTAATGGCATCCCTTCTCCTGAACACGATAACCCTCTGCTTTCAGAGAAGTAAACCCTTATTTGCCTTTTCAGTCCTTCAGAAAACCTCCAGCAAAACTGAGAACGATAGTAGGTCAAGCTGGAAAATGTTGATTAATTCAAAAAAGATGGATGAGCTGCTTTCCATCAGGCCGTTCTCATGGTTAGTGCTGCAGCACATCGGGGCACGGCCCCATCTGGTTTGTATGTTAACTTATAAAGAGCATGAAGGAGTAGGAGAAACAAAAGGAACAGGACTCAGTCCTGTTAAGCCTGGGCAAGGTGGCATTGCATCAGTGCGCTGTACTAACACAACAACCAAACCAAGTGCCTTCTCTTCTTCCCCAGACATCGAGCCATGACAGCCACCAGCCACATCCAGAGATGGATGAGCCGTGCTCCTGTGCACCAGGGACAGGACCGGCTCTGCACAGGATGTCCCTCCGAGGTGAGCATCCCTCGTGTCACACAGCCTGTGCAATTTATTACCCCAAAGGTAAATATTGGCTTATGCAGCTGCTGCCTCCCTCAGTGTTTGCTTTTGAGAAAAAGAATCCCGGTGCCTTTGCACACCTGACAGTCTGTGCATTGCTGCGAACGTCCCATTGTGGGGAAAATGTGATTCCCAGTTTCCTGCAGTGCAAATTGAATGCCACGGCTGTGCTTGGTGCGCCATCACACCCAGAGGTTTGGTTTAAAAGCAGACCCAGGGGCTTGGTTTAAAGGCAGACCTGCTTCCTGCTGTGTGCAGGGAGATACGAAGAGTCGTTATGAACTGGGGCTTAATTGAATTCATGTTTACAGTGTAGGTATGTATGCTCAAGCTCTGACACCAGGCTTCACATTGATATATACTCACTGTAGGATCACAGTATATATATATAAATATATATATTTTTTTTGTTTGACAGGGAGAAATCCTGCATTGTTGTGCTTTGAACACAGTTCTTTCCTCAGCAGGCAACGTGGGGCAGGGAAGGAAGGAGCCCAACCAGTGTGGTGATAAATCCAGTGCATCAGACAACCCAGCCCTACCAACATCCCCCTTCTCCCAGTCTCCTTTCCCCTGAGGTGCTGGGTGCTGGTTTCCAGCACAAACCACCAACTCACGGCATCTGTCAGGGCCAGCAAATGAGTGCTGTTGGCTGTGACAGCTGTGCTGAGGCTTCGCCATCAGGCACCGTCAGACACAAGGCGTGTGGGCGCTGCCATGCACGTCACCCCAGGATTTGGCATCCCGAAAGCTCGTAGCTTCAGGGTAGGGTGTGAGCAGCACTCACCTGTGTGTCTGCGTACCCCAGCAAGCCCAGTCCTCACTGCCCCATAGATATGAGGGCATATGCCCCCCCCATAGTACCTTGGGGGGGCAGCACCCAATACCATGGCAATACAGCAAGGAGTCAGAACTGCCTCTTCCATTGTCAATCCACCATGAATCGGATCTGACACAGCATGATAACACAGCATACACCTACCCAGCACTGCCAGCACCTTCCCACCTCACCCTGTCCAGCAGCCTCCTCCTCACCCTGGATGCCTGAGGCTGGCATTCTGTGATGCTCTCATGCCTTCCTTCCGTGAGGAGAGGGAAGTGGCAGGAAAGCCTCTGCTCCTGCCACGTTTCTTGGGGACTCGGTGCTCCATCAACACAGGTGGAGCTGAGGGGCTCAGGGCTGCCCCTGGGGTAGGGCAGTGCTTGGTGGCTGGGTGCTGCCACAGCAAGCTCACACAAAAGGATTATGTTTCTGAAATCTTCCCGCTTAACATTCCTCAACCGGACCTTTCTCAGTTACGCTTTTATTTTTCAATGCTCCCATTTCAGACTCGAGCATTAATCTCAGGGTTTAGGGCCTTTGATTCTGTTTTGGTCTGGTATGAGGCACAGAGGACGCCGGCGACAGCCTCTGCAGCTGCTCCTGCAAATGTGTGCTGGGGATGCGAGCAGCGGGCGCTCGTCTGTCACGCTGCTGGGGGTGCAGAGGGGTAATTCACTCACATCTCTAATCAGGGGTGTAAGGAGCAATTCATTACGTTTAGCAATTCCGAGTGTTATCTCGTTTCCAGCACACTGCAGAGGACAGCGCAGGGAACCTTCTCCCACAACCAGCTGAATAAAGCTTTATTCAGGTCTATCACTAGTCTGTCGTTGGTGTAGGTGCTCACCTGGCAGTGTGAGGGCTCCCTGAACTCAGTGCCAGGCAGTGGCACAGGGGATACATCAGGAAAGGAGAGGCAGGTACCGGGGCTTCTGGGATAAAAGCCCTTGGAAATGTGCTTGAGCAGTGACTTGTAAAGCAAAATGGGGAAACTTGGCTTACAACCCCTCTTTGTTTCCTAAATTTAAAAAATCCAGAAGTAATTTGTTGGTTGAAACGAGTCTCTCTAGGCTCTTAAAAATGGCTCAGTCAGCAGTGCGACAATCTGTAAGGAAAAAAAACATCAAGTTATAGCACCCTAAAGAGGAACAGCTTTAGCCAGACTACGTATAAATATGCATTTTATTCCTGCGGAAATCTATTTAACACCAATATCTAATAGTGTCTGGACAAAGAGATCTCTTTGCTAAGGCCCACGCACTTTTACTTTCTATGGGGATCATGCAGTTCTCACTCTCTGAGGTCACCAGAACTCTAATGGGCCAATGGTTAATACACAGCTGTCCCCTGGTACCGCTGCTGGTACCCCTGGTACCACACTGAGTGCTGGTGAGGATCACAGCATGTGTCCCCAAGGGCCTGTTGGTATGGAGCTGACTGGGCCAGGAGAGCCCTTGCATGAGGATGTGGGCTGTGAGTCTTGCTCGAGAAAAGAGAGCATGAGAGGTGCTGCTCCCAGTGAGGAGAGGAGGACCATTGGCAGGGCTGGGTGCTGTGTTCCTCTGCCTGCCCCGGCCCTTGGGCTGCTCTGGGGAAGGACTGCTCAGGATGCTGTACTGATGTCCCCGTGTCACTGGCTTGGTGCACCACCAGGCTGTCCTCTCCCATCAGCCTGGAGCGCACAGGTCCTGTGGTAAATATCCTCCTGCAAACTGAGCTATGGGAAAAAGAGCAGCGGAGAGTCCAAGGCTTCATTTTGCTCAGCTGTGTCTG